ACACCCCGACCAAGATCAGGGCATGCTGACCGTCACGTGGAAGTGACGTAACCATGTGCACAGTGCGGAAGCTAATAAAATAATAATAAAAAGTACGGATAAATAAAAACCAGCTTTACACAAAGTAAGAACATACATGTGCAAGCGTAAATGTGAAAACAAAGTTCAGAGCGCAAGACCTAATGCAGTCCGAGAGAAACAACACTACATAAACACACCCGAAGGTGGTCCTACACTGGTGATAATCTGTCAGATATGCCGTGAAAAATCCTCTGGGGAGCCACCAAGGATGCTAGCCAACTAGAACCTGGAGGGGCGCAAAACAAAAGGGTGAGTGGGCAAAAACAAAGCTTTTCAAAACCATTTCATAAACAAGATTCTAACCCTTCGCCGTAAAACTTGTATACTTCCCAGAAAATAGAATATACATATATATAAGTCATGCTCGAGAATATGGCATGCCAAATGTCTCTAAATAGAATGCAAGTGCTCAGGAATGTCAAATCAATGTCATATAAGCTATCAGCAGGAGTCACCTAACGTGACCTGTACGGCTGAATATAGAGCTCAAATGTCTATCTCACTAACTATACCTGTACACGAATCGAAACCACCTAAAGTGGTCTGTACGACAGGACTGGGTGTACTACATATATGCTCAAGTGCTACGATCACGTGAAGGCTGGGCGAATAATCGCGGTTCACCTACGAGTCGGAACCACCTAAAGTGGTCTGTACGACAGGACTGTGCACCTAACTTGGATCCAAGATGAGCGTGTGGTGCGGGAGGTGAACATCATGTGAAGGACTGTGCCCAACTTTGGGCGGGAGCACTAACACCGGGGGTGCAGGTTATGAGCTCTCTATGCATCTCAAATCACTACTGAACTTAAACATAAATCATAATTCACCTGGCACTTACCTGTGCGTCCGCAACACCAAACATATATATACATATGCGACTAATAATGCGTAAATAAATAGCAAACAATAAGTATGGCATATAGACGTATAAACCTTTCCAATTAATTTCTGGGAAAAACATAAGTATATAGGTATATACGGAAAACCAAAAGCCCACTCATTGGTATGTAGAAGGGCCGTAACCCCCTTGCCTCGAGTGACCGTGCTCGTCCTCGGGATAGGTCTCACCTATATGCGAAACAACTATAAAAACGTTAATTTTAAAACGCATAACCAACCTTATGAAATAACTTCTCATACAATGCTTAAATGGGGTGTATGAATACACCAACGTGATCTACTCAACCTCAGGAACATCCCCATATTTTTAGAAAAATTTTCCACCGCCCCACGCGCCCCCACGCGCCGGCCAAGGCACGGCCATACGCGCAGGCACGTGCCTGGCACACTGACGGCGTCAGTTAACACCGTCAGGAATATTCCGTTAACTTTAACGGAATCCGTTAACGGGGTTTGGAATATTCCGTCCAAACTGATGGAATATTCCGTCGTCTTCTCCGGTGAGGCTCCGGCGCCGTCGCTGGCGCCGAAAAATCGTGAAAATTTCAAAACTTCATATCTTCTTCGTTTTTCAACCAAATTTCACAAAATTGGTACCAAAATGAAGCTTACAACGAGAGGAACAAATCCATACCACTTTCAAGCACTAAAATCCACGGAATCTCGCCGGGAAAACACCACCAACTCCGACCAAGCTTGAAACTCACAATCCCGACGTCCAAAACCTTCAAACGAACCACCCCGAGCCTCCTAAGGACCTCACCAAGCTTTCTACAAGCTTGAAATTCCCAAAAACACAAGAATTAATGTGTGCATGAACAGTGACCAAATCGGGTTATCCCGAGTTCGACGTGAAAACGAAGGTATCCTTACCTGAAATGGGTATGGTTGAACTCCTACGGACTTCACGAGCATGAATATGTACTTTGTTTCCTCGATCTGTGAAGGTTTGGAGGGGTTTGGAGTGTGTCCGTACAAATGGGGATGGAAATGGGAGAGAGAAAGGGCTCGGGACAAGGGTGCAGGGTAGGGAAAGGGTGAGGGAGGTGTGGGGGAGTGTGTGTGGCCCAGAACCTGCCAACAAAAATCCCAAAAACACACACGCACACAACGAAACAACCATGCTAGCGGCAAAATCGTCATTTCACCTCTACGGTTCGAAAATCTGGAACGGGCTGTCACAATATGGCTAAGGAATCTTGTAAGTAATTCACTTAACCTTCGTTCTTTGTTGCATAATTGATTTACAAACAACTGGATGTGTAATTGAGCTTACATATCATATTTATTATTTATTTTTCCATTGTGCTAATATTAAATTAATTTCAATTATATATCCGGAAATTCAACTTTTTTTCTCTTACAAATTTTGGATTCCAAATGCAGTCTCTCTACTTATAACCACAATAAATTTCTTGGTGTTTAATTTATTACAAGCTATATAACTACTCTAAATTAGACTAATGGAAGGGGAGATATGAATTCATGAACTAGCAAGTCGAAAAATTAGGACATAATTACTATAGTAATTCACCACTTGCACTTGATGTTTAAAGTTGAAGACTTTATTATATACACCCTAAGAAACTTAACTTGAGTCTTACTAATCTCTGAAATTAAAATTTTGTCACTTAACTCTTTGAAATTCAACTCGTGTTAGAGCTACAAGGGGTCATATTCAGTGCCCACATACAATTTGAATGGATTTGTTAACAGAATTTGTCGGTATGAAGCAAAGTGAGACACAATTTGAGTTTCAGAAGATTAAGTGACAACTTGAATTTGAGGAGTTAAGTGAAGCCTGAATTGCGTTTGATGGGATGTTGTTGTGAATATCCTAAAGTTAAAACATTGGATTCCAATTTCCAAACGTTGGACAATAACATAAGACATTTAAATAAGGGCACCGACATACATACATGACTCCCACAAAAAAATTCAGGCTTATATTTATTTATGGACCCTGGAACTCCATTTTGGTCTCACTTTACAATTTGTAACTCCAAAATCACCACTTTACTTCTTGAAACTCAAAATTCGTTCCACTTGACTTGTGGACTTTTTCTTCTCCCTAAAACTTATAGGTCGTCTCCTGAGCATATATGGGGCCTAACATCTAATAAGACTATGCCACATGTACAACAAATTTATAAACCTCCATTATGCGTTAATATTCAACTATCATATAATATTAAGTTTAAAAGAAATTGATGAGATGAAAAAGATAAAAAAAAGGAAACTGATTAGTTTGCCTTACCCAAATTTAACCCACATAAGAAATTAACATATCTAAGGCAATGTGGAGCAAAGTTTGAGTTTTATAGATAAGACTTTTAAGTTTTATGGGGCAAACTAGGATAAAAAATTGAGTTCCATGAGGCAAAGTAGAGCGAACTTTGAGTTTTAGAGAGTAAGGTGGTGACGTTTGAGTTACATGAAGCAAAGTAAGATTAAAATTAGGGTTAATCTCAATTTACTATCTTAAAGTTTCTTGATTTTCAACATTTGGTACATAAAGTTTTTTTCATCTTAGAGTGGTAACTGAAGTCATAGTTTTGGGACACTTTTATACTTCCGTTAAGGTTGTTGTTCAATTAGCCATTAACTAATGACATGACTGCGCGAGTGAACAATAACGAAGAGCTACATGTCAAAATGGGCCCATATGGATATTAAAAAAATAAAAATTCAAAAATTAAAAAAAATCAATTTTATTCGATCGTCTTCTACCTCCCCCGTTTGTCCGTCCCTCTCTTCTCCCTTTGTTATCTCCACTGCACGGACCCACCAAACCTTCCTACTAGATTCGGTTGATGATGTAGTCTGTCTTGGGCTGCTGCTTTGAGATGCGGCAGTCAAAGAAATCATTGACGAAGCATTGGCGTCATGGTCCAAATCAGAGGCCACATCAGAACCAATCGCAATCGGAGCAGCTCTGGGGATCAAGAAGATCAACGACAAAGGGTGTGGAGCTTAAAATAATCCCAAAAATTCTAGAAGCGACATGTAAACTTTTGTTCAAGAAAGACAAGATTGCCCTCATTAAATAGGTAGACTTCTCAGATACTCTCACGCGCAGCTCACACCCCTGAAGCTCCATGCAGCTGAATACGAGTGTCCACATCTCACCTGGCCTTGGCAAAGAAAAGTCAAAGCATTAAAAATAACGATTAATTACCCAACTCTTATATTTAATACATCTATAATTGAAGATCGACTTCATTCAAGTAAGTAATCCATATTTAAATCAATTAGAGATAATTACTCAATTATCTCAATATATTATTTCCTATTTAATAACTTGAAAATATTTCTCCATAAAACCTTGGTAAAACCCTAAGGGAGGGGATAAGGGAGGGAGGGAGGGTTGGGAGGTAGAAGATAACCAAAAAAAAAGCTTTTTTTTTTAGTTTATTTTTTTTTTTTAAGGAAAACTAATGAAAAAAGTTTGAAAACTTTGAATTTTAACGATAAAGACAAAATAAAGAGTAAAGTGAATAGTACCAAGATTGACTTTTTAGTGTAAAAATATGGTTTTTCGTTAAAGTGAACAGTACTAGGAGTTTTTCGTTAAAGTCCAGTCATTGTCTATGTCGGCACCACGTTATCAGTTAACGGCTGATTTAAGAGCAACCTTAACGAATGTATGAAAGTGTCCCAAATTATAACTTCATGTGCAACTCTGAAATAAAAAAATTTTCATATACCGAATGTTGAAAACCAAAAATTTTGTAGGATAGTAACTAAAATTAAACCTCAAAATTAAGTTCCGGGCATGGCTAAAAATAACCCAAAATTTCACGTCGCCCACCCCAAAACCGAATGCGAAAAGGTTCCAAACGAGTCATTCAGTCAGTCACTCGTCCTTTTTCCACCGGTTTGCTACTTTTGCTTTGCCCACCAGACAAAAGCTTCTTCTACAATCCACAGTCCAAGTGAGTCCCTACCCTTTCCTTCTTCTGCCCAAATAGTTTTGAACCAAAACACCATCCATCTCTCCCTCCTCAATTTCCCCCTACCCTCCTCCCCTTCTCCCAAATTCAAAACCCTAATTCTCCCTCTCTCTCTCTCCCCAGCATTGAGAGCCAACATAGAAGAAAATAGTAAAGAAAAGCAGAAGGCGCAACACTCTCTCCTGTCCTCTCCTCTCCCATGGCTTAAAGTCAAAACCCCTTTTCGTCAAATGATCTGAATTTTTTTTTTTTTTTTTTTAAAGTTCACATTTTTATTTTTTACCCAAAATTGTTGACTCTCGTGATTGGCTTATTAGTAGCAATGTCGGATGACATGCTCATCCATTTCTCCTCCAACTCCTTCAACCAGTCGGACCACTCTCTGCCCACCAAGATTGCTAAGCTCGAAGCCCGAATGGTCGGCAAGGCCTCCTCCGCCTCCGCCTCCTCCGCCCTTCCTGCTCTCCAGCAGCAACAGCAGCAGCAGCAGCAGCCGAGATTCACCACGGCTGACTTGGCCGAGCCTTCAACTTCGAGTGATTCCGACGACGATGTAAGCTCTTTCTCTCTCAATTCTGTACCCAATGCGTGTAATTCAGTGAGTTTGTGCTTTCAATTTTAATTTACCAGTTGGGATTGATTCTAATGGCAATTCGTAAGTAGTTTAGCGAATTGATCAAATGGGGATAAGTTTATTTACATTTCTTATGTCTACTCAATACTATTTCAATCAATGAAGTTTCGTTGTTGCCAGTATAAGCTAATTATAAATGGAATGCACTTTGATGTCTGCGATCTTAGGATTCAAATTGTCTCATTAATCAGAAAGCGATTCTTTGTTATTAGGTTGAACTGTTGTTCTAAGAGTGTATTATGGCTTATTAAAACGGTCTTTATCTACCTTACTTAAGTGATTCACTAAAATCAAACGATACAGTGTACTAGGTGATCGAAATTGCTCAGGTCTTTCCATGCTTGATAATAAAATGCCAAAATAATGAGACTGGATATGTTGGACGAATCAAAACAATATTTGGACTAGTAAATACTGAACTGTTGGACTAAATTATGCAACTAGTATGGGAAATTTTCTTTTCTTCATACCATTTATATAACCATTTACGTTTGTGAAATTTGCATTCACTATTATGGTTTCCTTACCGGGTTGGGATTGCATCCCCCTGTCACCATTTTTGGAATTTTTTTTCCTAAGAATTTTTGGTTTATAAGAAACGAAGTTGTTAATAAAGTCGAGATAATAGTATTATTCACCAGTAAACGAAAAGTCCATGTACAAAACAAGAAAATACCAAAAGAAGCTATCTTATCCTTTGAAAACAATCAGTTACGTATCATTATATTTTAATTTAGAATTTAAATATTTTTAACGGTTTTAAGTACATAATTCTCATTAAACTGACTGACTATCAGGTCTTGGATCTTTTCGATTTGCTATGATTTATGTTCTAGTTCATATTCTTATGACAGAATGGAGGGGAGTTTCTGATACAAGCCAACACTCAGAAGCGCCAGAAACTTCAAGAAGATGGTAGTTCAACTGTTCTTGAACATGTTGAGGTAGGCTCTTGTTCAAGTTAAATTTGGTTAGAAACTTTAGGATAATATTGTAGCCACCGATTTTAGTTTATAATACACACTATAGTATCTTGGCTTCAAATGATATATCTAATCTGTTCTAACATGTTTGAGGCAGCACAATTTTAGAAAACTCATCAAAATATGATTTAGACGAAAAGTTGGGATCATGGTTTTCAATTACTTCTTTTATTTATTTTTTATTTTTTACTTTTTACATTGAAAAATCGTTTTCTTTCTAACTTTCTTCCCCATATAACCCCACTTAGTGGGAAAAGGCTTTGTTGTTGTTGTTGTTGTTTCTTTCCCATATAAAATGAATTTATATAAATCAAGAAAAAAAAATCTGAAATAAAAATCACATGCAGGCAGTGGTTGATGGGAGGCAGATGGTTGTAGAAACTGTTGATACCAAAGCAACTTCTGATGTAAACAAAAAAAAACATGGGCGTGGTAGGGGGAATTCAATTTCAGGTAGGGTTCGTGGTTCAAGAGTCAGTGATCAGACAAGATTATTAGTTACTCCTTTGACAGTTTCACCTCTCAATGGTCAGTCTGAGAACCCATACAATAAGGTACGCTCGTACACTCGAGCTGTTTCAGTTTAATCCTTATTCTTTTAAGTTAGCAGTTATTTTCTGTGCATCATTATTCTGCATCGATGCCATCATCAGGCTGTTATCGCTTATGCTCATATGTTATTTCTAAACGTTATCTACTGTATTCTGTTACCAGAACATGTTTTTTTCCTTTTAATGGACTGGGCCACCTATATCTATTGTTCTCTGTAAAAAAAAAAATTCTCGCTATTGCTTTTCTTTGCCATTGTTTAAATTTTTTTTTTTAAGATCATATTTGTTAGATAATTGATTGAGGGTCTGTTAGCCACGAATGGAGTTTTATCAGGACCTGCATCTTCTTCTTCTTGCCATCTGTCTATTTTTCTGATTGAATTATTGACTAGGAAGTGCCAATGTATAAATGTCACCTGGTAATGAGGTGACATTGACTGGAACTGCTTATTGCTTGGTTTACACACATGGCCCTGTGTATGCTTTTGATTGAAGTTTTAGCTAATTTTGTTCTAAATATTTTATGACGTTAAAAAAAATGAAGGCTTGTTTGTGAATTTGCCCATTGTGTCACTTACACCTTACATGTCTTCCTTTTTACTAGGTGATTAAAATTGTACTAGTAAAGAAGTGACTGAAAGGATCTGCAAATCACATTGAAAGGCAATATATGGTGATTATTGTGGTGTGATGGCAAATCATGTTTCCATTGGCGTGAAAAAAATGCTCAGCAGAAACTTTAAAAACCATGTATAATCTTTTGATAAAATTTACAATTTGCCATTTTGAACCATCCCCGCATCCTATTCCATGCATGTTTAATCTGATCCCTCTTTCAAGTAGACTACAGTCAGATTTAGGGTATCTATGGAAGAGACTATGATTTTTAGCATCTATAGGGGTGTCAGCACAAAAGCACTGGGACAATTCAAATCAGCTTAATTTAGTTGGGAGTAATGAGCTGATTGCAAGTTTTTCTTCAAATTTTCTGGTGTGTACATCATTTATGATTGATGGAGAACTTGTCTGTCCTGACTTGTACTTCGTTTCTCGTTGGGGTTTATTCTTGTTGCTGTATGTAGAACAGAAATATTCATGAGCACACACTGCTGTCTTACACATTCATACTTGCAGGATAGGGATAGCAGGCCTAAAGAGCAGCTTCGGAATGACAACTGCTCTTCATTAGATGTATGATTTGCGGATTTCTTAAGTCATTTTGCAATTATTTGTTACTCTGTAGAAGGTACTTATTGGGTGGGGGTGGGGGTGGGGGTGAACGTGGGAGTTAAGTAAGAGAACTGCCTATTGTCTCTTCCCTGGCTATCTTTTTACAGTTCAAGCATTATACTCAAAATGCTTACGCTAGAGGCACATAATTCATAGTTTTACTATTCTTTGTCAAACTAGGAGGAGATTGCATCTTTACGTGCAACAGTTGCTGCGCTAGAGGAGGACTTGCGAAAATCACGTCAAGAGGCCTCTGATTATCAGAATCTTTGCCGTCAATCAGAGAAGGTAATTAAGTAATTGCCACTGTTGTCATGAAAACAATGTATATGCTAATGTAGTGTCACTTTCTTCTTAGGCTCTTGTCTAGAATGAAAATCTGTTCATCTCTGCTTTCTATTTTTCATAGCCTTTCATTGTTATCTGCGAATCTGTGATGTGTAGGAATTGAATGATGTAAAAGAGCTTGAACAAAAAATGAAGCCAAAGGTGTGCTCTTCTGGACAATTTATATTCATCAGTATTTCCAATTAATCATTATATAGAATTATTGTTATTTTTAAAATTTTTCTGCGACATTGTTGCATTTTGTTCTTTATTGACATTGTTGAATTTTGTTCTTTATCTTTCACTGTCAATTTTCATGGGAAAACAAAGTACAGATAGTAAACTTTTATACTAAGTTGCGCTTTTCTGTTTTAATCTCATTACTAATAATTTCAGTAAACTAGTTTGGTTGACCATGTTTGCAGAAATAAAGATACACTATGTCCATTTGCTCGAAGTAATTTTTATTATACCATTCATGTCAGTTTAAAATTTGTGGGCTGGTTCTAGTTCTTTCCCTTTATTGCAGGGCAGCATTGGAGTGGTCATCCAGTTCTCAAACAGCCTTTAGTTTAAATTAACAGACTAGTGTGTGCATACTCGCATACACAAATGTCATTTTAATAGGATACTTGTGCATTAGTTTCGTGCAAGATAGTTCATCTTTTAGATTCATTTACACATGAATCATGATACAATGTTGTAATTGCTGGAAGCCTTGACAGAAGTTCTTTTGTAATGATTATGAGCTGTTAGATTCATTTTTCTGTATAGAAGCAGTGGGTCAGAATGATTTCATTCTGCGTGAATTTTATGTTTATCATTGGTATGTTGGAACATAGTTGTGACAGATACAAGTTCTGGTTTCCACTTATGCAGAGAACAAAAGTGATCTCTGATCTGCTGATATCTGTTTCGAAAGCAGAAAGGCAGGAAGCAAGGTTGAAAGTACGACAGGACTCTTTGAGGCTTGGCAATGTGGGTGTCATCAGGTAATGCATCATTTTATTTTAGCTTCTATATTTGGTACTTTGAAAGGGTTCTTCATGCTTGAGGGATTTCCTTATCTTTTGGTTTCAAAATTTTTATGGGCTCCTCTCATCCTAGTGATTCCATTTTTCTTTATATATTCGCAAATAATTTTCTTTTTCCATTGCAGAGCTGGAACTGTCATATCTGAGACATGGGAAGATGGGCAAGCCTTGAAAGATCTCAATGCTCATCTTGTATGTTCTTATCAGACATTTTTCTTTTGCATGCAGCTATGTTTATGTTTATGTTTAGCGACAGTGAACTTTTCTACTTTGATGGCATTCTTTTTGTCCACTTATCAAATAATATGAACCCTTTTGCAAATAGAATTGCATTTCATAATGCTTGAACCAGAAAGGGCTACAAAAGAAAAGGGCAGTTGACAAAAACAATGACAGTATTATGGATAACAGTATTATGGTTTCCCCAGCAAGGTCACATTAGGATTCCAGACTACTTAAGGGAGAGGATCACATTTTCTTTTCTCTCTACAAATGCTGTCTTTTAATAAATTATTGATCGTTGTACCTTCTCTTTTAGATATGGCATTTATTAACATTGTTATGTTAATTTTCTAGAGACAATTATTAGAAACTAAGGAGGCTGTTGAGCGGCAGCGAAAGTCATTTAAGAAAAAGCAAAGTGGTAAAGTTCTTATGCATGACTGTTCTAATTACCTTTCACATTTTGGTTACTTTGGTTTAAACCATGTTCCAGGAATTTGATCATTTTTTGGGGCAATTTAATTATATGGTGTCTGCTGGATTTAAGCTCCATTTTGCTTTCTCACTATCTATCTATCCATTGGATTTACGGATTTTCAATTTCTGAAGATAAGGGTGATGGAGTTGATGCTGAAACTGGAATGCAAGAAGAACTTCTAGTCCAGGATGAGATCTATAAATCCCGTCTAGCCAGCATCAAACGAGTAAGCTTACTAGTTTCTTTAATTTCGGTTTTGGATTTTTCCGTTCTCTTTTTATTTTCATTAGGAAGTCCTTGTTTTCTCATTTGTTTGTCATTCCACCATGGACTTCTGTAGGAGGAGGAAGTTATCCTGCGTGAAAGAGACCGATATGAACTGGAGAAGGGAAGGCTTATACGTGAAATGAAACGCATACGAGATGAGGATGGTTCCCGTTTTAACAATTTTCAGATTCTCAACCACAGATATGCCCTCTTAAATCTCCTTGGCAAAGGGGGATTCAGTGAAGTTTACAAGGTCGGAACTTTGTGAATTTTAGTATCTAAAATTATTTCCACTAAGTTATAGTAAATGTTATATTTTGGAAGAAAAGTCTAGATAATTCATTTGCCAATGTTGGCAATTGTAAAGAAATACCTTTTTGCAGTGATTTGAAGTGAGAAATTTCCAGCAGGCATTTGACTTGGTAGGGCATAGATACGTTGCATGTAAACTTCATGGTTTAAATGCTCAGTGGAGTGAAGAGAAGAAGCAAAGTTACATACGACATGCAATCCGGGAGTACAATATACACAAGACTTTGGTGCATCATCACATTGTTCGACTTTGGGACATTTTTGAGATTGATCAAAATACATTCTGCACTGTCTTAGAGTATTGCAGTGGTATTTATACCATCAACATTCTGTCCTTTGAATAATCTTAAAAAATTCTTGTCTCATTCTTTCTTCATCTTCTTTTTTGGTTTTATTGATATTTCCTTGTGTACCCTCAGGGAAAGATCTTGATGCTGTCCTTAAAGCAACACCTGTGTTACCCGAGAGGGAAGCTAGGATCATTATCTTTCAGATATTTCAAGGTCTTATATACTTGAACAAAAGAACACAGAAGATTATACATTATGATTTGAAGCCTGGAAATGTTCTATTTGACGAACTCGGGGTTGCAAAAGTGACCGACTTTGGTCTTAGCAAGATAGTGGAGGATGATGTTGGATCCCAGGGTATGGAACTAACATCCCAGGGTGCTGGGACTTATTGGTAAGTGATGCAACTCAGCTTATGTACATATGCAGGATTACAATTTCTTAAAGAAAAGAAGTTCAGCTTCCCTTGGGAATTTGAAACGATGTTTGAACTTGAAAATTAGATTCTTCACCTTAATATATTTATGTAGTCCTGTTGAGTTTTTGGCTGCGACTGTGTCTTCCAGTGGCTCTCCTCTGTCTTCTTCTCCTTGACATTTTTGTACATTTGGTTTAAGTAGCAGAATATTTAATAATTCCTTATTGCAGGTATTTACCTCCTGAATGCTTCGAGCTCAGCAAGACACCTCTTATATCATCGAAGGTTCGTGACTTTAATAAGTTTGTATCTCATAGGTAGATTTTCTGTTTTATATCAATTTTGCTATAGCCTAGTCTAGACATGTAAATTACATCGCGTACTAGACTACAGATAGAATTGGTGCCCCCAGAATCTTCTTACTTGGAAAAGAACTTATCAGAAAGCCAAACTGTTTCTCCTCTGACCTTTATTCTCCTCAACTTGGGTCCCAAGGTTTTTTTAACACAGTCTCTCTTGGAAAGCAGGTTGACGTCTGGTCAGCAGGTATCCTTTTATACCAAATGCTATTTGGAAGACGCCCTTTTGGGCATGATCAGACCCAGGAACGAATACTACGGGAGGACACAATTATTAAAGCTCGAAAAGTTGAATTTCCATCCAGACCTGCCGTCTCAAATGAAGCAAAGGTGAGTTGTGCTCATAGTTGGCACATCATGCTTAGTTTTTCTTTGATGGAAGTAGTTGGTTCTTAGAAATAATCTATCTTGTTCTTCAAGATAAATGATATAACCTGGGAAACAAATTATGCATGGGCTGCTCACTGGACCAAACATCTTCCTGGAATCTATAGTCGACCAGTTGAGAAAAAAATAATATACAAGTTAAAGTCAATCCAAGAGGTTTTTGTTTATGTATATGGGCTTTAGAAAGACGGTTTCTTTTTAGAGTTTTTTAGTATTGGTTGGTGTTTTTATCTTTAGGAGCCTATTATATATCTATGAGACTACGGGTATGTTAAAGCAGAGAAATTTTGATGAATGAAAAATATTATTGAAGGACTTGGTTTCTTGAAGGCTTGGTACCTTAACATCGTCATCTATAGCAACATTTTGAGCAGTTCTTCAAACTTCTTTTCTCCTATAGTTATTTGATTACAAAAATACTATCATATTAGAAGACCATAACCATAGTCAGCACAGCACCCACCTAGTGGCGTCCTACCTCGAACGGGTTGAGGCTGATATGATTTAGTTGCCAATAAACAAGAGACTGTAGGGTTCATCCCCTTAACTCTCCACGTTTATTGATGGACGTGTTTAGGTGAATTCTGAGCAACTTGGTGATACCATTTTGCATGTTTCTGCTTGCAGGAATTTATTCGCCGCTGTCTAACATATAATCAAGCAGAGAGGCCAGATGTTATAGGGATTGCTCAAGATCCATTTCTCACATACTCAAAGAAGTAAATCTTTACAGCTAAGAAGACCCGAGAACTGTGCGCCGCAGGATTTTGTTTGTTTTCCTGCAATACCCACAAGGAATTTTGTACAGCTTGTAAAGATTTATTACTCATTGTTGATGTGGTGTACTTCCCTACGGGTGAAGGCTGTAGATTTGGTTATTCAGCAGCCTAGGTATGCTTCTGAGTTATTCTTTTTTCGATCATGCGTTGGCACTCTCGTTTTGGGAAGAAAAATAGTGTAAAGAGTAGGGTTTACATGAAAGCATTTTGAAGCTTCGCTTTGGTAATCTTGTACGAATGGCGGGGATAAATTTTTTGTTGTCCCCTATGATGCAATGCAACTTTGATCTCTGTATAATGTACTCTTGTTTTTGGGACAGACTGAAATGTAGTTAGAAAGTTGAATTATATCGATATAATGTAGGACTGAAATGAAAGAAAGGGCAGTTTGATGGAGTTGTAATTGCCCTTGGTGGAATGAATTTCATTACCAAGGATTTGAAAAAAATGAGCGTGATTCATACTCATGCACATTCATGTGTTTATTAACAACCAAAGAATTGTTATTTTTATTTTTCGAAAAATACTCCAACTAGTATTTAATGCTTCGATTTGGTTTGGTTTGGTTTGGTTTGACCAAATATCAACATGGAAATCGAACCAAACCAAACCATTTTTAATCGGTGGTCGCTCTTATTTCTTCCTAACTTTGTGTTATGTCTTAGTCAAGTTGACAAGTTGTACATACGGTCGACTAGTATACGGCTACATAACCTACTGACGCCTAAGAGCCGCATAAATATTATCCCATATGTTTACTATTTAGACGAGAGAGTAGTACTAGTACGTGCTATTCCAATCCAGTTATGGCATTATCCTTCTCTTCCACAACTGCAGTTACATGCTCAAAGCTCCATCGCAATCCAACCCTTCAATTCAACACCATAAACGCCCATAAACAAAGCTCGAATGTCGTCTGTGCCATTGCGGAGCCACCACCAGAGTCCGGCTTGCCGGCAAGGAAATCCAACCTTGCTGTAGGCTCTCCAATAATCGTAACCGAAGCTCCCAGAATGATAAAAACTGCAGCATCCGTTCCATGCCTCCGGGTTAACTCTGGCTTAGTCAAACCAGGTGACGTCGGAAGGTAATTAAGTATGATTAGTCATGTGCATTAATCAATTAATTAGATGTTTAACTTGCTAAAGCAATATCAAATTATCAATGTGTGAATGTGTGTGTGTGATATTTCTTGGTGCAGAATTGTGTCAAGAAAGCCAAAGGATGTGTGGGCAGTACGGCTTTCAATTGGCACTTACCTCATTGATGGGAAATACTTCAAGCCCTTGGAGTTGGACCTTGACCAATAGACTAGTGATTTTTGTATTTTTATTTTACTTACTCATGCTATTATTAATACATTTTCCGTAGTATTAAATGGACTGCATCTAGTTAGTAATTTAAACTTTTACTAGGGGTGAGCATGGTCCGGTGCGGTACGGTTTTGGGGTAAAATTGAAATCGAACCGAAAGCTATTTTGGTTTAATAGTGTGCACCGAAATGAAACCGAACAATTCGGTCTTAGTTTGATTCAACGGTTTTAATTTAGTTTTAGGCACGTTAAAAAATTGGCATACTTGGCATGCTTCAACTAAATGTATTTTTTTTATTTTTATTGTTTCTTTCTATTTGTTTTGGTCCTCAAACAGGAGAGAAGAACATTTTATAGTAAGTAAAACCAAAATTGATAACCAACCACCATACTAAAGTTCAAAGAAATAACTTTGGGTTTGTTTCAAAAGGACAAAACAAATCCCAGCAAGCAATAACCACCATATCTAAATTCAAGTATCCAAATCCAAATCAAGGTATTCAACATTCAAACAAATTCAAAAGTTCAAAACTTAGTCATTTCCAAACTAAACGCTTTATGGCATTAGTACAACCCAATTGAAAAAAAATTGAAGATCTCTATACTAAAATTACTTAAAACAAAGTTCAACATCAAAATGCCTTAGGCATTAGTCCAACCCCATTGAAAAAGTTAAAGTTTACCAGCTAAATTTAAGTTCAAAGTTCAAACTGAGTTCAACGTCAAAATGCATTATGGCTAATTAAATTAATTATCTTTTATATTATGCGGTTCAGCTTGGTTTGATTCCATTCCAGATGTTAGAAACTGAAACCAAACTGTTATTTTTAGCTTTCAATTCGATTTTAAATAGAAACCTTTTCAAAATCGCAAAAAAATTGAACCATTTGTTGCGGTTCAATTTTGTATGTGTTTCAATTTCGATTTTCAGTGCCCACCCCTATTGATTTCTGCGAAGGACTAACTTTGTGTCAAGAAACTTGATCCATACTCACAAATTGGACATGAATGTGGGTTTTAGCCTGATGGGTCATGGGTATCCATGTTAAGGCAATTGTTAATTCATGTTGAGTCAAAAGCCAATTTGAAATTCATAGATACTCAAAAGCCAATTTGAAATTCATAGATACTTCTTGTTTCTTTGATTGAAGTTCATTTTTTTTTCTTCTTTTGTTGAGGATTAATTCATTCCCAAAATTTTGAGATGAATTTATCTTCTTCGTTGCAATTAAATTCTTATCATCAACTAAAACTCAAAACTTAATTCATGAAATTAAATTTTTTAAAAATTTCAATCAAACTTTTCATTGTCTTTCCAAAATAAACTAAACAACAATTTTATGAGAGTTTTAATGAAACACTTCTGATGCTGTTCACTTTTAGCGAAAATGACATTTTTATTCTAAAAAAGTCACTTCTGGTACTATTCACTTACAACATCTTTTTGTCATTTTGATTAAAACTCAAAGTTTTCAAGCCATTTTCATTAGTTTTCCTCAATTTCATTCGTTTCTCCATCACCTTTAGTTTGCTACTCACGTTTGCAATCCAGTGCTTGACTCCTTGCAATGTAAAATATATTCAATGAAAGAAAGTTAAAGTCCAAACATGTAACCAAATTTATCCTCAACATTGACATCGACATTGTCATCAAATGTGCAAGACGAATTCTTTGTGGAAGTCAAATGTGACAACATTTAAAAAAAAAAATGTTAATAAACCTAATAAGAAAATATAATCAATGATTTCTCTTAATATCTCATGACATATTCCAAATCCAATCTCGTGTACACATCAAAGTTTCTATAATATTTGATTGGAAACGGCTATGCTGTGGAGCCACAATTCTTCTGCAGGTATTGAAAGTTGCTTCTGAAGCAATTGTAGATGATAGGAGCATATTTAGGCGACTTAACTAGCTTATTCTTGTGCATTTATGCTATTATTTCTTAGTTAATGTCGCATTACAACTCAATTTCGTGTGTTTGTAGGACCTATGGGGTAAAGTATCAAGAAATGGCATTTTGGTGCATTTTGGAGCAATTTTGGACACTATGTGGATAGCTTACATTTGGGCTAACATGGATGGACGAATTTTGACTTCAAGAGGCTAGAAATGTGATAAGAAGAGGAAGGAATAAGCTTGGGACAAAGTGGATAAGGTTTTAGTGTCAAAGTATGCAAAAAGAAGCAATTTGGAGCATTCTAAAGCATTTTTGGGCCAAGATTGGATAGTGCAAGCATGGAGGCATGAGGATGGACGAATTTGAAGGCTTGAATTCAGTTAGGGAGCTGCAAGGGGGCCTAAAAACCTTATTTCTAGAAGGCTTTATCTATTCACACATGGTACCTAATTTCTGTATTGGAAGAACAAGCCGTCCTAGCTTGTCACTAGCCGTCCTAGCTTGTCACTAGCCGTCCTACCTTGTCTCCTAGCCGTCCTACCTTGTCTCCTACCTTGTCCAAGCCGTCCTAGCTTGTCACAAACCGTCCTACCTTGTCTCCTAGCCGTCCTACCTTGTCTCCTACCTTGTCCAAGCTACACACTTGTATCCCTTAAGTGTTTCATGTATATATATCCTTGTAATCTTGAAAGGGCAGGAGAAAAAAAACATTCTCTTCCATATTTTCCACATTCTGCCTAAATTCTGGTACAAAACCTTTTGGTTTCAACTAAGTTCTAAACCTTTCCTAGCCCTATAAATAAGGCTTTGCAGCAAGGCATTAGGGGGGATCACTCATTCACCCAATTTTCGTCCATTCATCTAGCCATACCACTCTACACATCCATACACTTCTGCCGCACCCTTCCCCACCATAATCAACCATCCTCCATCCCTCTAAACAAGGAAAAACCATCCAAAACCACCAATTCCAGCACCTACACTTTGTGCCGCAGCAAGGAGGAGGAAGAGGAGCCAATCTGTGCATCGAATCCATCTTGGAATTGCTGAGCATTTAGGTGTAATCTTTCTTATGATTTCAATGTTTAAATTCAATACTTTTTGTTGTGCAAGCATGAGGAACTAATCCCCCTTTGGCTAGGGGGGAATTTCGAAACCATGGTTGTATTTGCATGATGATTTGATTACTTTCAGTTGTGATTTCATGAATGTTGAATTCAATTTGCTTATCTATTTTAATTAAAGCTTGCTTATGTATATGAATTGAGAGTGCACGCTTGATTTGCATGCATAAACATGATGCTAGGGTATGAGGGAACTTCACCTAATTGTTGGGAACTTATATTCATGAGTAGTTAAGATTGTTGGTCACAATTATGATAAGTGAATTCTTGGCATAAGTATCATGCGCTTTCATAGTTACGAATGCCTCGTCAACACCTATGATTTCCATAGAATCTAATGATCTTTGATTGTCTTTCTTTTATGCGCTTTCATATAGAAAACTTTTGAGGAATAATTTGATTGCAATGCGCCAATTCCATTCAATTCAATGACCTAAGGGAAATCTGAGAGTTGATTTAAGCGTACCTAATTAACTTGGGGTGTTGAGGTTCATGAATTCATTGATTAAGCAACTGGAAATTGTATTATGTGCAAGTATGCCATGTGTGGAGAAAAACCTCCTAGCCATCTCACCATCCACTTAATTCCATCAAATTCGTCCAAATCTGCCTAGTTTAATTTCTTGTTTTGTTTTGTTTATTTTCGTCCAAAACCAAATCCCCATTTATTCTAGAGTGTCTAATTGGTCCAAATATGTTTTAGATTGTGTTTTTGAGAGTTTTGAGTCAAGTTAGAACCAATTTTCGTCCAAATTTGTGTTTAGGCTCAAAACTGCCCAGATTGTGTTTTTAAGGCAGTTTTGAGTGTCTTTAGCCTATTTTGAGTCTTGTGAACGTGTTTGAGTCTTTTTACGTGAGTTTAAGTGTTTGAAAGGTTAATTTTATTTATTTGAGTCAGTTTAGAGTGTTTAGCAAGCCCTCCTAATCCCCGGTGTAAGAACGATCCCTACTTATTTATATGCTACAATTGTCAAAAGAGGGTTAATTTGTGTGTTAAGTTAATTTTCGCATCAAATTTTGGCGCCGTTGCCGGGGATTAGCAACTTTGCTAATCCCTTGTTATTTCTTTTTAGTTATTTTCGTGTGTTATTAGTTTTTTTATTTATTTTAGTTTCTGACCTATTTGTTTCCTTGTTTTAGGCACTAGTTTATGACTCGGAGTTCTCAACCGGTTCATGCGCATATCTTAGACTTTGACGACGATTTTGAGCGAGCCTTGAGAAGAAAGAAGAATCAACAAGAGCCTCAACCACCTCCACCTGCACCAGACCTTGAAGGGGACGAAATACAAGTGGAGGAGGAGGCCACGGCAAGGGTTGTTGAGGAAGAACAAGTTATGGCAGCCGACAACCGAACAATCAAGGAGCTTTCCGCTTCGGGATTGGTTAATGCCATACCTCTATGCATTCAATATCCAAGGGCAGCCCACGACAAGGCTGCCGAGTTTGAACTCAAGTCCAGTTTATTGCATCATATTCCTAAGTTCCATGGGTTGTTTATGGAAGATCCCAATAAACACTTGAAGGAGTTCGAGGTTGTTTGCTCAAGTATGACCCCGGTGAATGTTGATGGGAGCATTTTGAAGATGAAGGCTTTTCCCTTTTCTCTCTTGGAAAAGGCTAAAGATTGGTTGTATGAACTAGCTCCCGGAACTGTCACATCATGGGAGAGTATGAAAAGGGCGTTTTTGGAGAAGTTTTTCCCAACTTCTCGAGTCATTCTTTTACGTAAAAGAATTAGTGGCATTCAGCAAGATCAAGGTGAATCATTTCCAACTTATTATGAACGTTTTAAAACCCTTGTTGCTTCATGTCCACAGCACCAGATGAAGGAGGAGCTTCTTCTCCAATATTTCTACAAAAGGCTTCTACCAATTGAACGTCAAATGCTAGATGCCTCAACGGGTGGAGCTTTAGTGGACAAAACACCCATGGCCGCCAAGACTCTCATTGCCAACCGAGCTTTGAATGCTCAACAATACGAAGGAGTTGGCCAAAGAGACATGCCACGGCAGCAACAAAGTGTCAATGAGGTAAGTGTAATTTCTGACATTCAATC